CTCTTCCACACCCAAAGCCATTCAAACCTTAATAATATAAACCCACATGTTCTTCACAAAGCTGTCATTTCCTAATCCTCTTACCATGCTGAACTTTGCTTCCTGGCACTTATCACCCCATGGCATACACAGGCATACACCTGTTGGTGTGGTCTCTGTGTCTCTTCTAGAGAGAGACAGTGCCTCCTCTATAAGTTGTCGCTTGCTGAGGTGATGGCTCTACTCACAGTGCCACGAGGTACAACAAAAGGAGGCACTACCCCGGCCTGATTCGTCCTCACAGTTGTTTCTACATTTGGGCCCATTGATGCAGCCCCTGTGTCTATCTACATTACACAACTTTGAGAATAAGAAACTGTCTGCCCCATCGTTTCATTTTTGAAATGATCATATTATAGAAATGAATGCAGGGGAGCTAAGAAATCTTTTCTAGATTCCTATAATCGCCCTGGGTGGCTCAGTCCATTGGTGTGTACTCTACTGGCAGCCAAAGTCACAGCAGGCTGGGTCATGCAATTTTTCAATATGAAATGTTACACAGATATCTAGATAAAATCTCTATGGATTTGTAATATGTACACTTCATAAAAGGTTCTTGTTTGAGTTTTGTTTGTTAATGAAATAATCTGGGTCTTTCATCAACTGAATTTTGTATATTTTCAGAGATCATCTACAGCTGGGTATTTAATGAGTTCCCTTCCTTTGTGGCGGAAGACAGCCGGCGCTTCATTTCCCAGCAGACAGGCAACCTCTACATTTCTAAAGTCCAAACCTCTGATGTTGGCAGCTATATATGCTTGGTGAAAAACACAGTGACGAATGAACGAGTACTTAGTCCTCCAACTCCGCTCACACTACGTAATGATGGTAAGTCCCATTGACTGAGTTAAAGTCGTTAACCACGGCGATATAGAAAATCTAAAAAGGAGATCTGCATTTTACTAAGCAATCTATTCTTTTAAAAAGTCAAAAGGCATTTACCATATTTGGAAGCATGAGACTTTTAGATTGAGATTATGCATACCTTACAAAAAACCTGTGAAATAGGAAAGTGACGATCCACAGATGAGAAATAACCCCCATAATGCTTCTCGAGGGCCCCGAGTGGAGAGAGATTCTGAGAAGAACGGCAATAAAGACTCCACAGTTCTTTCCGTTGCTCTTTAGTGCCTCCATATAGCAATATGTGTGTGAAGTGCAAGCATTTTATGGGCTCACTTTTCATTACGTTTTTATGTTAGCTGCTTTCAAATGGAATGTTCAGCTTTTAATACTTCATGGTATAGTTATAATTGTTATTATTGCTTTTCCAATCATAGGAGCAGTTGGAACTTTAACTTTTAAGTGAAATTCAGGCAGAAATGATGATTCTATAATTATAGGTATTGCCATCTATCTAAAGAATCTTCAAGTTTAAACACCTCATTTGTAGTTATAGACATTTACAGTTAAGCATTGCATTGAAGAAGTCAATGCTATGTTACAGTTGATATATGATATGTGGATTGCTCTGTCATGCAATAAAAAAAAATCTATGGAGGCAATATTAAGAAGTGAGCTTGTAAATTCTGATTGATTATATAGTTTAAAACTTCTATATCAATTCTACCTTTCTTTTGCTTGTTATTAGAAATATATATCAGGAATGTATGGTCAGAAACCATACTGCACGGATATATGTTTACCACTTGCTTTTTTATTTTATGTATTAAAAGTCCATGGTTTATATATTTTATAATAATAAACCTATGGAGTAAAGACTACAAATGGCATGTCTATTTTAAAGATGAGGAAAGTGTTATGAGGGAAATTAAGGGACTGACAAAGGTGACATAACTAGGTGAAGATATGGAAGAATTAGTAGAGAACC